CTGACCTCGTTCACTCATCGACTGACAGATCACAGAGCCCGGCTTCCCTCCACGCCTTCTCTCTGGACTCGCTGTCTGGGCTTCAGGGACCCCTCTGGGCCCCCCCCCCCCCCCAGGGAACCGTACTTAACGGGCTGGGAAACTGAGGCTCAGTGGCCTAGGTGCCTTGTCAGAAGCCTAGGCCACCCACCCACGTCCACGTCCTAGGTCCTTCCCCCGGCGCTGGGTTACAACGGGACGCACGGCGCCAGCGACCGGAAGGCGTGGGAGGGGAGGGAGTGCCCCGTTGACGTCACCAGGTGCTGGTGCTCTGGACCTTGCAGCCCGCCACCCCCTGTCTCTGCTTCAGGTGCTGCTGGCAGGATGCGGTCCCTGCTGGGTCAGCCTGGCCCTTACCCCGGTCCTGCCTCTGAGCCTCCTCCATGGCAGCTTTGGGCCTCACTGGGGGTCTGGATGCGTGTGGTGCCCACTGGTAGGAAGGGGCCTGCCTCCCTCCAGCCGCCCCGTCCCCCACTCCTGGTCCCCGCTCTCCGCCGACGGTCACGCTTGGCTGTGCCCCAAGAGGCCCGGACTCGGGGACGTCCACCGTGTTGCCAACCCGCTCTGTCCTCCCGCGTGGCTGCGCTTGGCGGTGGGTGGCCAAGAACGTGTAGGAACCTTCCGTATGAACCAGATGTGGAAAACTGAGGCTCAGAGAGGCTCCGTCCCCTCAGCCTCGGGGCCTGCCTGCTCCCCGCACCCAGGGCAGAGCTTTCTGTGTGGAGCCAGGCCCCAGGGTCCAGGAGGGAGGTGACCAGCCAGCCTCTCTGTGTCCTGGGGAGGCCCTGCTGGGTTCCCCCCTCCGTCTTGCACTGGCTGGCATGTCTGCTCACTTCCCATGCACGAGGAGGTGCCAGGCCTCCGAGGCCTCCTGACACTCGCTGGTTCCAGCTCGAAGCCCCCTCATTGTGTCCCGATAGCTCCAAGCTGACGTGGCTGCCGCTGTCTGGGACGTGTGGCCCAGGGACACTCCCCTCTCTCTTTAGAGTTATTACCAGTGTGTGAATCTGGTCTTGGGGAAGATGCTCACGCCTGCCTTCCTGGGTCAGGGTGGCCCCGCTCCCTGCTGTCCCCACGGCCAGTGCGTAGAGCAGGTCCCTCGGAGGCAGAGGAGAAGCAGCCTGCCCTACTGGTCTGAAAGGTCCCCAGTGTGGAGCAGGGAGGGGGCGGGCGACCCTGGCCACTGCACTTGAATGTCCCCTCCTCACCCCGGCCCAGGGGACTGACCAACCTCTGAGCCCCAGCTTCCAGGTCAGCAAGCCCTGATGAGCCCTTCCCGGACAATAGTAGCATCTTCGTCACTAGGCAGGTCTCTGTCCCCTCAGTGCCCACCACTCACCTGTCTGAGCCTTGACTTTCTCACCTGTAAGGTGAGACAATAGCAGTGCCTGCTCACAGGGGCTCTGAGGACATGTGTTTGGTGCTGTGTCCAGCACGAGAGAAGGAGAGGCTGGCCAGGCAGGGCAGTGCCGGGAGGTGGCAGGTGCCACGCAGGAGGGGAGGCCGAACTGCCCCTGCAACCTGTTGCAGTGGGGAGTGGGGACAGGACAGATGGGTCAGCTGGGCCTCCCAGAATACCAGCTGTGCTTCCCAGGCTCCCCCCACCCCCGGGGTAGGAAGGGGAGAGGCCTTCACACACCCCGGCAGGCCAGAGCTTTGAGGAGGCGGGTTAATGCAGGGTGAGTTCCCGTCCGTCACCTGCAATGACCCGTTGTGAGAGGACGCTGAGAAAACAGAGACAAAAATCAATGAGGATTTGGAAACAGACATTGCTGGAAACAGTTTATTTCCAGAAGCAGCGTGGTCTGGAAGAGATCTGAAGTGTCGGCCCCGAGGGGGGCCTGGGACAGACTGGAGAGAGGGGCCCCGGTCCCCAGGGAGGGGCTACCTCACCCGGAGCCTCTCCCTGACCCGCTCTGGGCCCCGGGCAGGGCCTGGTCTTCAGCCGGGAGGTCGCTGCTGCAGGTGTCCTAGGCTGGGGGCCTCTAGGCAGAGACGACTGTAGGCTTTAGGATGCGGGGGGCAGATGGGAGGGTGGGGAGCTCCCAGCGCCTGCCAATCTCCCCGGGCGTGTGGGCCGGCAGGGCATCAGGTGGTATTTCTGACTCTGCCGGGAGGCTGTGTGAGTTGATCGGTTCGTTCGTTCGTTTGTTCATTCACTCACTCATTCAACGGCTGTGTCTCAGGGATCTCTGATGTGCTGGGTGACGTCCGTCTGCCCCAGACACTCCGTTCTATTTCTGTATCCCTGGAACACAGCCCAGTCATCGCTGCTCACTTACAGTCCCCGAGGTCACTGTGCTGATGGAGGTGAGCCCTGGGTTCCCCGAGCGTCAGGCAGAGGGTGGCCCTGGTCTGCCTGGGGTGCTGTTAGGAGCCGCTCACTGCTCTTCCTGTCTGCACCCCAAACCCTCCCTAGGCTCGGGGAGATGATGCCCTGCGGGGAGGAATGTCAGCCGAGAAGTGGGCACCCCCGTCAGGGCCCATGCCGGGTGCCTCTGTAGCTCTGTGGATGGAAAGTGACAGCTAGTATTTCTGAAAAGAATTCTGTCAAGACCACAGTACATCAAGGGCCCTACACAGGGTTATTAAAGTGGAGCCACTGAATAATTTTCCCAGAATAATAACATTTCTTAAGGATTGTGAATGAGCCCTGGTCTCTCCTTAGCTGCCACGAGCCAGAAATGTCCGGGGGTGGCTCCAGGGCACCATTTCAAGCTGCAGGGCCCGTTAGGTTCCCCTGGGAACACGGAGGCGTGTGCGGGCATCACAGTTACCCTGGCAGGCTCTGGGGTCGTGTGGAGATTAAACGCGATCGGAGACTGCCGTTTCCAGGTGCTCGCTCACAGGTATCTTTAAGACGCCCCGTGCGCAACAGCTGAGGAAGCGGCAGGTGCCGGGGCTGCGCTACTGAGGAGACTGGAAAAGATTTATCCCGCTGGGTCTTTGGATTTGTCGGCTTGGCCAGGGGCCTGGGCACTTCTGAGATTCTGATCAGCTTTCTCCAGGGTGTGGGGGCTGGAGCTGGGGGGGTGGGGCACAGCTGTCTGACTCCAGTCACCCTTTCCAGGTAGAGGGAGGAGCTGAGCTGGGTCCCCAGCACCTGCAGGAGACGTTAGCTGCCTGGTGTGGGAAAGTTTAATGGGGGGGGGCCCCGCCTTTGAGGATGTGCACCTGCCTGGGCGACAGGAATAGCTCCTTCTCCCCCAAGCCCAGGCACTTGAACCCAGGTCAGTGAGGTCAGCGAGAGGCTAAACCCTGAGCTCGTCAGCCTCTGAGAGCCTGTGGTTCTGAGACCCCCTCTGTGCAGGGAGAAAGTCAGCCAGTCATTGTCAGGCCCAGGCTGGACGTGTGTGGAGGCGGGGACATTTCTTCCCCGTCACAGATGGCTCTGTGGGTGTGTGACTATCCAGTCGCACGGGGCTCCCTGCTTAGGGGGGGCTCCCTGCTTAGGGGGGGCTCCCTGCTTAGGGGGGGCTCTCTGCTTAGGGGGGGCTCTGCACTCGGTTTAATGCTCTATTGCTGTTTTGAAATGTGGAATAATTGTTCCGCAAGGGGTTCCGGGCTTTCAGTCTGCACAGGGCCCTGCAAACTCCCTAGCCAGTCCTCCCTCTCACTCCCCTGGGGTGGGGGTGGGGGCAAGGCTCCCCCAGGCGGGTGTCGTGAACCCCTGATGGGAGCGTTTGGGAGGAGCTGCGGGCCCGTGCAGCTCAGCCTGTCCCCGCTGCTCTCTCTTCTCAGGAGCACCGGCCTGATGCTTCCTTTATCCCAGTTGGTTCAGAGTGTGGTGGGCGTAGGAGGCACATGAGGCAGCTCCGGGCGGTAATAATGCTGCGAGACAAACATCTCCCGAGCTCAGTGGCTTCCAGCAGAGCGTTTCTTCTTTGCTCACGGTTCTCTGGTCACAGTGGCGGCTCCGCTTTGGGCTGCAGGTCAGGGTCAGCTTGGCCCTGCGTGAATCTCGTGCTGGGACCAGCGGCCTCCCGGGGCCCGTTCTCACGGGTAGCAGAAGCAAGGCGGGGGGGGCGGGGGCAGAGCGCCGGGCGGGTGAGAGCCTGGCTCGCTCACACCCGCTCCCGTTCTGTCGGCCAAAGCAGGCCCCGCGGCCAGGCCCACCAGGCTCACCCTCCCAGGAGGTACTGCAAAGCCACACCCCAAAGGGCATGCAGTGATGTCCCCTGCAGTGACGCAGGCGGGACTTTGAACTGTAATCCGGTGCGGCCCCAAGGATCTTGTGTGGTGATCCCCCCGCTCCGACCCCAGCATGAGGGTCAAGATTGGGTTTCTGGAAGATCTTTGAGCCCTGAGGCCAGCCACCTGGTGAACAAACTCTTGGAAGATGCAGCTGTGCTGGGTGACTGAGGGAGCAGGGCTTTGAGAACCCTCGCCACGGGGAATCTGGTGGGACAGCATGACCTACAGTGCTGGCTTTGGCCAGGACCACTCAGGGGAAACTTCCGGCGCCCCCGGGATGCTCTGTGCTTGCGGCCGAGGGGACAGAGCAGTAGGAGAGATGCTTCCTGGACGTGGGCGTGTGGCTCTCAAGGTGACCATGGGGCTGGGGGAACCCAGAGAGAGGGGCTGCTCACCCGGCTTCAGGCCTGGGGCTGGCAGGGGTCTTTCCAGAGGGAAAAAAGCCTGTGCTGAGATTTAAGAGGGGAGAATGGTGTGTGGATGGGTAGGAAAGAGCATTTGAGGCAGACGGGCGGGGGTGGGGAGAACACAGCGGGGTCCGCCCACCCTTGGGCTCACCGTCCAGCACAGGCAGGCGCTGGGGGACTGGGTGTGTCCTGAATCGGAGAGGGTGGGGCCCAGAGTGCTTGAGCCCCACAGTCCGCCGGGCAGGGGGTGGGGTGTAAGGACCCCCGACTCTACCGACCGCAGCTGGGCGGGGGTGGGGCTGGAGTCTGGAGCAGGGAGAGGACGCGCTCTGGGTGCTGTGTTGGCCCGAGTCTTGGCGTCAGGGGTTTGTTACCTGGGGGAGCCGGAGGGGAGGGGGTGCTGTTCAGTGCAGTCGGCTTCCTGTGAAAGTTCAGCCACCTTAGCAGGTAATTAAGGCCCGGCTGTACTCAGCCTGGGTGAGATCCATAAAGCGATGATGTGACAGCCTTAATTAGCGAGGCCTTTTCTTCATAAATACGTATGGCACTTAATGAGCATCAGAATGGAGCCTGGATTTGCAGCCGCTGCTGGCCGTGAATCTCGCGCACAGGAGGAAGCAAGGCGACTCTCCTGGGAAGCGCGTCTCCCTTCAGCAGCCCCGCCTGTGCCCGGGATCCTGGGCCGGACGGCTCACTGCAGACTTCTGGCCTCGGGGTCCTGAGCTCCCGAGACCCGGCGCTCTCGTCTGCCAGAAAGTGAGGCAACAAGCGAGTGGATCGGCAGGAGCCAGCTTGGCCCCTCTGGGTGCTGCCCGTGGTCATTTCCTGCCGTCTCGCAGCATGGGGACCTGGGGAGCAGGGTCGGTGTCACTCACGGTGGTGGGCAGTGAACGCCGGTCTGCTGATGTCACTGGTGTTGGGGGTGAGGAGGCACAGTCCAGGCGTGAAGGCCTTTCTGGTGGCTGGCATCTCGGCCCGGACCCCCTTCCGGCCAGGCCCACCACTGCCCTGCCTGAAACCCCAGCCTCTCTGTGCGGGAGGCGCCCCATACCTACGAGGGGCCGCCCGCCTGTCTTGCCTCCAGGATCCCGGGCGAGCCTGGTAGTCTGTCCTCACGACATCAGCTTCGACTAAACCGTGAACTTCCGTGCCATCAGAGGTGCAGCCTGATGGGGACCATGTCCGGGAGCTGCCTCATTCATCAGCGGGTACAGCAAGGTGGCCCATCCGTCCCGTGGAAAGACAGACAAGGCGCTCACATGAGCTACAGCACGGAAGAGTCTTGAAAACGTGGTGCCGAGTGAGAGAAGCCAGACCCACAAGGCCACGTAGCATCTGATTCCCTCCACGTAAATGTCCAGAATAGGCAAATCCAGAGACAGAAAGCAGATTAGTGGTTGCCTAGAATTTGGGGGAAGTGGGGAGCACTGCCAAGGCCTTTTTGAGGATTAAGTGTTCCGGAACTAGGTACAGGTGATGTTGTACCCCATTGTGAATGTGCTGAAAACCACCTTAAAAGGGTGAGTTTTACGTGTGTGAATTCTGTCTGTTAAGAGAAACCGTGCAGGGGTGTGGGGCGGGGACCCCAGCTGGGCCGGGGAGACGCCTGGTTTTTCTGGGAGGGAGAGGCCAGGATGCTGGGCCTGAGCCTGGTGGCCCCGGCCTCGCTCGACCTTGGCCACAAGGGGTCCTGGCTGGGGTCTCTCGGGCCGTGGCCCCCAGAATAAAATTCAGTGGAGAGAGTGCAGGGCAGCGGCCCCAGAGGCCTGGAGCGTCCCCGTCTCTTCACAGGCAGACTGGACCCCCGGACACATCCCCCCGCCCCAGAATGCAGGGACCAGCCAGCTTGACTGGGGGAAAGCTGGGGTCTCCCACGGGCACCCACCTGGAAGGAGCCAGTGTGATCTTTGTGCTGTCCGGGCTGGCTGATGGGGTTGTCCCCGGTAGCGACACTGTGTGCACATCACTCCCGCTTGTCATTCTCCTACTGTCCCCTCCCCAGCAGGAGGAAAATCAGCTTCTGGTGACTGTGAGATGAACTCACGGGCAGGATGTTCGCCCCCTACCTCCCCAGGATGGACGGGACTGGGAGTCTCTGGAATCATCCACGCTGGAGTCGCCTCGGTGAGCTCTCTGTCCCCAGTGCCTCTGCGCAGGGCTCAGAGCCTCTGGTAAATGTCCCCCCTGGCTGTGTCCTACCTGGCCACCCGTGTCCATGTCTCCGCAGAGACACATCAGTGGTCCAGACTTAATGAAATGTAATGGGGTGGGCTTGACTCTGGCTTGCTTCTGAAGAGAATTTTTCTAATTTTATTTTTAATTCTCTAACAGGCATGAGCTCAGCTCATGGAAATTACAACCGTAGCTTCCCCCTGTGCTACCCAGCCACTGCCTTGTGTGACCACTTAGGACAGAATTAATGGCAGCAGCCTGGTCCTGCTCAACTAACTGGCTCTTTGGAAGCCAGTGATTAAGCTTGGTAGCCAGGCAGACGCCACGGCTAGGCCGCTGAGGGGCTCCTGGGTGGGCCATTCTCGGGGCGGGGTGGGGGGAGATGTTTCACCACCCGAACTGCTAACTTTTGGATGTCATGGGTCAATAAAAATAACTTAGAAAAATGCCAGAGAGTCAGTTTGGAATTTCTAACTTATTTGCTAAGTAAGGGCATTGAAAGAATTCCTTCTAAACCTGGACTATTCTGGCCACGCTCATTTTGTAGAGGAGAGAATATGTAAGCACTCAGAATGAGGACAGACACACTCTGGAAAAAGGTCCTGTAGAGAGGGCACGCTAAGCGGAACGGAGAACTGCCCTCCGCCACCCCCATGCCCCTGCCTAGCTGGGCTGCCGTTACGACAACCCCACACGGGGCTGATTGACAACAGACTCGCATCTCTCACAGCCTGGGCTACCGCTGCCCTCACCCCTTCCCTCACCTTGTCCCGCTGGCCCTGCTGCAGACAAGTCCCAGGGAACCTGGGGTCTGATGGCAGGGGCAGGCTGAGGAGGGAGGAGAGGGCTGCGAGGCTCCCCCAGGACTTCTGCAGGGGTGGGGAGGACAGAGCTGTCCTCCTTGGTTCCGAAGGCGAATTGATTTTCTGTGTGGTTTTAGCCCGTTTTCTGCCCTCGTGCTGAAAGGTGGGGGCCCAGACTTGGCTTTCTGGGCCCCAGGCAGGCTGCAAGCCCAGGGGAAGAAATGAGACATCAAACAAGGCTCAAAGAGGAGCCTGGCTTCCCTGGGCCGAGCTCTCAGTTGGGATGCGGGATGTGGGGGCTGGAAGCTGGCTCTCACTGACAGACAGCCTGGCTGGGTGCATCTGTCTGAACCCACAGCAACAAGGGGCTTATCAGTACTGCATCTCGGGATCTGCTCAGCTGCCTGCGGGGAGAAGAGGGGGCCGGTTAGAGATCCTCTCCTAAGCGGGTGGGGGGAAGGAGTGGGGCAGATCCTTCCAGAAAGGGGCTCGACAGGAAGGGGCTAAGCAGAGGAACAGCTTTGGCTTAAAAATGTTTTCGGTGCCTGTTTTCTCTTGTAGGATTCCGATGGTTTCCTGTCTCACATTTAGGTCTTTCATCCATCTTGAATTTATCGTTGCGGACGGCGGAAGAAAGCGTCCCAGTTTCATTCTTCTGCCTGTCACTGTTCACTTTTCCCAGCAACGCTTTCTCAAGAGACTGTCTTTTTTTCCATTGGGTGTTCTTTCCTGCTTTGTCGAAGATTAGTTGGCCATACACTTGTGGGTCCGTTTCTGGGTTCTCTATTCTGTTCCATTGATCTGACTGTCTGTTCTTGTGCCAGGACCATATTGTCTCGATAAGTCGGTCAGAGAAAGGCAGATATCATATGCTTTCGCTCGTGTGGAATCTGAGAAACTCAGCTGATGAACACAGGGGAAGGGAAGGGAAACTAAGATAGAAACAGGGAGGCAAACCATAAGAGACTCTTAAATACAGAGAACAAACTCAGGGTTGCTGGAGGGGAGGTGGTGGGGGGATGGGCTAGATGGGTGGTGGGCAATTTTCAAAAAATTTTTATGTATTTTTGAGAGAGGGAGACGAGCGTGAGCGGTGGAGGGGCAGAGAGAGAGGGAGACACAGAATCCGAAGCGGGCTCCAGGCTCTGAGCTGTCAGCACAGAGCCCGATGCGGGGCTCCAACCCAAGAACCGTGAGATCGTGACCTGAGCCAAAGTCGGAGGCTTAACCGACTGAGCCACCCAGGCGCCCTGGGTGATGGGCATTAAGGAGGGCACTTGCTGGGATGAGCACTGGGTGTCATATGTAAGAGATGAATCACTGGGTTCTGCTCCTGAAGCCAAGACTACGCTGTATGTTAACTTACTTGAATATAAATAAAATGAAATAAGAAAGTTTTGGGGAGGTGTTGCAGGGCGGGAGGCCGCGGGCATGCTGGAGCTGGGGTAAGCTCCAGTAAGGGGTATTGGAGCGGGCGGAAGGCATGTGTGTGAACAGGATCTTGCTGAGGCTTTGGGGGAGGAAACCCCACACGTGAGCCTCAGGGACTCTAGGGCCAGGGCCGCGACCCCGTGCTTGGCTCCCCCTCCCCTGGGCTCTGCTTCCCTTTCCCGCCCCCGCTTGAGGCCAGGACCTGATCCAGCCCCCTGGAAGCTGACGGGGACAGGTCTGGCAGAAGGGTGAGGCTGCACCAGTCGGGGACATCCCGCCCCTGCTGGGCACAGACCCGGCTCTCAGAGCTCCCTGAGGCCCTGCCGCCTCGCCTGGCAGTCAGGGAATCTGAGCAAATGGCTCAGCTCGGCTCGGCTGCCGAGGGGACAAGGGCTTGCCAGTGCCCTCGGGGACAGTGACGTCCTCGGTGGCTCCCCAGAGCCTGGCCAGTGCCTGGGGTTGGAAATGGAGCTGAGTGTCCAGGACCCCGTGGTAGGGGCCCCAGGGCGGAGCCAGGCGGCCTTTCCAGGGGCGTTGTGTCACTGTGGGAACCCTCCCGTTCTTGCGGAGGCTCCTGCGTCTGTCTCCTGGAGGGAGGGCTGTCGTGCACACGGTCGGAGACTCCATCTGGGCGGGCCAGCTGGCCCTTCACAGCTCGGGCCTGGGGGGCCACTAGTTTTCCGAGAAGGCAGAGTGGGGGCGCTCTCCCTGGCGTGGCGGGGAATTGTAAGTAGCCAGTTCCCTCGGAGGCCTTTCCTTGCCGCAGACGGCCAGAGGTCACGCCATAGCACCCAGCCGGCGTGTGCACCTCTTCTCCTCTGGGAGCTGACCGTTCCTGCACCACTGTGCGCCTGCGTGTTTCGGAAGCCGTGTCCCCAGGGAGACTTGTCTGTTCCCTTCAATCACCGAGTGATGTCTGAATGCCTCTTCTGTGCCAGGTGCCACTCTGGGCCCTGGACATAGGGGACACCGCAGACCAAAGATCTTGTCCCCACTCGGTGAGTGCCATGTGCGTCCTGCCTCCACATCCCTCCCCCTCGTCCCCAGCCCCGTCGTCGTGAGCTCACAGCCTGAGACGCAGCTTTGTGATGCCCACGCCGAGTGGGACTCGGGGCTGGGCTGCTTGGGAGAAAGCAAACAGCTAAGTGTTGGCAGGAAGGAGCGGGCATTCGCTTCTAAACTCGGGGTTCTCCGTGCCAAGTTGCGGCTTGGCGTGCCTTCAGGCATTCTACGTTCCCAAAGGTTTGGTTAAAAAAAATTACTCAGTGACACTAGTTAAAGAACAAAGTAAGGCAGGCTTTGCTCCGGGGGCGGGCTACCGCGATAGGTTCGGTGGGGTTTTGCGGTGGGGGAGAGGTGGGGCTCAATTCAGAGCACAAAATGGGCACGTGGGGATTTATAGCCACCGAGAAGGGTGGGGGCAGTGGATGGAAAATCACCAGGAGGAAACAGCAGGAGTGAGGGAGACGCGGACTACACCCGGGTGATCAGACACCCCCTGGGGATGGTGGGCGATGAGGGACCCTGTCAGATATGGAGGGTAGGGGATTCTGGCTAGACTGACCCAGCAGGATTCGTACTCAAATTAGACGGTGGGGAGGTGAACATGGAAAGTCAAAATCAAGGCCTGGTTGAAAAGGGCTCAGAGGAGGGTCGCCCGGGTGGCTCAGTCTGTTAAGCGTCCGACTTCGGCTCAGGTCATGATCTTATGGGTTGTGAGTTCGAGCCCTGCATCGGGCTCTGTGTTGACAGCTCAGAGCCTGGAGCCTGCTTTGGATTCTGTGTCTTCTTCTTTCTCCCTTCCTTGCTCTCTCTCTGTCTTTCTCTCTCTCTCAAATAAACATTAAAAAAAAATTAAAAAAAAAAAAAGTAAAGGGCTCAGAGGAGCCTGTAGAATTTGGTCAAAGGCAGAATCAAAGGCTGGTGATTGAACCCAAAGGTCAGGGGGTGGGGTGTAAATTCCAACCCTCTAATCCCTGGGTTGGTTTCCCTGGCAACCGGCCCCCACCCAGAAGCTCCTAGAGGTCCACCAAGAGCCACCTCATTAGGGTAAACTCGTGTAGGGTTGAAAGGGGCTCATCATGAAGAGTAAAACATGGTTCTATTACTCAGGGAATTCCAGATTCTACCGCAGCCGATTAAGGTGCTCGTTCTGCAGTCCAGTGACTCAGGATCCCCGGCGTCGCCTGAGCCACGAACTCTCATTGTGCTGTGTTGTGGCATTTGCCTCTGTGTGGGCCTGTAGGATTTCCGTTCGCCTCTGTGAAGCCCCAGGGGAGCCCGAGGCAGCCCTCTTTGGGACTAGAGGGACCCATCGTGCAGCGTGGTCACGTTGGGTGTTTCCACGTGCTAGACCCTGTGCTGGTTGCCACTTTACCAGGCCCTCTTACCGTCACCTCTGGGAAAACCTAGGATTTGGTCATCTTGGGCGGGGCTTAGCCACATGTTACCTCAAAATGGATTCATCCAGGGTTATTCCCTGGAAGGGCCTGTGTGAGACTAGCTTGGTCCTGACAGGTGCATGCACCCCTGATCTTCTCTGGGCACCCTGGGGTCACCAGGAATGACCCCAGGGCACATCTGAAGGCCAAAGCAGGGGGAGATATTAAAATCTTCCTTCTCTCTGAGCAGCAGCTGCCAATCCAGACGTCCCTCGTGACTGGGGTCCAGGTGGCAGAGCAACCTTGTGAGAGCTTCCCCTCCGCCCCCGTGTGGCTTTGCCAGCTCTGGGATGATGCCAGGAGCGCCCTTGACACCTCCGAGCCTCAATCCCTCTTGTGGGCCCAGGGAACAAGGCCGTGGCTGCCTCGGATGTGGGTGTCCAGGGAGGATCCCTAATATCAAGCCGGCAGCCCAGGCAACGTTCCTGATTCTTTTTACTGTCATTGCCCGCAGGCCGGTGTCTGTCCGCCTTCGTCTCTGCTGGGCCTGCGGTGCCTGGAGATGGCCTGGCTTGTTATCCTCAGCCCCAGCATGGTCGCCCCAGCCCGAGAACCGCTGAGGGAGAGGACGGATGTGATCTTTCAGGCTCCCCAGTAGCTCTCCACACACACTTGGACAGGAAGGCCCTCACTCCATCACGGCTCTGGTTCCCGAGGCACAGGCAAGCTGTTGGTGCCGAGCCTCTGTTCAAAGGGTGGGTCTTGGTGGAGGGGGAGGGAGGATTTCCCAGCCGGCATCTGATGGTGGCGCTGTTGGCTCACACCAGGCAGCAGGCCAGCCAGCTCTGCAGGCTCCTGGGCCGGGGCCAGTGAGGGAGGGGGGGAGGCTAGGGCAGCCGGTTGGGCAGTAAGTCCTCTCTTTTCCAGACAGCTCTGCAGGTTTCCTGGCCCGAGTCCACCACTGAGTTTCGTTGAGGTCTCTGGACTTCCTCGGTGGCAGAGAGGACGGTGGCTGGACAGTGGACAGGGGAGGGCCTGGAGACCAGGCCAGGGGCAGGGAAGGAGCAGCTGGGCGGCCCTGGCTAGGGAGCCAGCGTCGCCGGCCTTGACCACCCCCCAGCCTCCTGGCTTTTCTGCAGCCTACGGTCTTCCTTGTGCTGGCTTCCTGGCACCCCGGGGATAGCTTAAGACCTCTCCGTAGCTGGAAAGGGGGTCTGCAGTCAGCAGCTGATGGGTGGGGAGGGCAGCGGATCAGGTCAGCAGCTATGGTTTGATGGTTGGCCTAGCCCAGCTCTGGGTGGCCTGACATTCACTCCCCATTCCTGAGACGGTACCTGTGGTTGTCAGAAAAGCTCTGTTGGGGTATTCTGCCTCTTGCCAGGATCTTTCTGGGGCCCTAGAGGACCCCTCAGTCTTCCCTAGAAGCAAGACTGGGTACTCTGCTGGCTGCATGCCTGGCATCCTTCCAGATTTCTGGTGCATGCTGGGAACTTTTGTAAGTCAGTGGGAATTCAACAAATATGAATGGAAGCCCACCCATGACCCGGTACCGTGTGTTGGCACTCAGCTCTTTGTGGAAAGGCTGGGTGATTAACTCCTCACTAGGAGCTGGGATATGGGGCTTGGGCCTGATCACTGATGCAGACTAGTAACCTTGGACCAGTGGGTTTTCTTTCTAGGCTTTGGTCTGGTCATCTGGGAAGTGGAAGAGTTGAACACGATTCATTTCTTTTCTGCCTTGGGTTTCTATTCCCCTTGTTAAGTTTCCTAATTTTACCCGTTACCTTGGTCTCCTGCCTAACATTTCCCCTAACTTCTGGTCATCTTGGCCTAAGAGCCCACCCCTGTCTTGGGACCTTGTCTTTTCCCCTGCTTCATTAACACCCTTACCACCACTGTCATCATCACGATCAGCCAGGTTCTGCCCCAGGCCACCAAGTTTGCATCACCATCACAGCATCATCATCGCCATTATCATCACCACCACCGCCATCATCACGGTCATCCTCAACATCAACATCATGATCACCATGATCACCATCATCACCATGATCACCACCATATCACCATCATCATCACTATTGGGCAGGTTCTTCCCCAGGCTACCACGTTTGCATCCCCATCCCCATCATCCCCATCATCCCCATCATCCCCATCATCACCATCATGATCATCACCCTCTTCAACATCATCATCATCATCAGCAGCAGCAGCAGCAGCAGCATCACCATCATCACCATCATCACCATCATGATCATCACCCTCTTCAACATCATCATCATCATCATCAGCATCAGCATCAGCTATCATGTTTGCATCACCATCATCACCATCATCACCATCACCATCTTTACCATCATCATCACCACCACCATCATCATCACCACAACCACCATCATGATAATCACTTTCAGGCAGGTCCTGCCTCAGGCTACCATGTTTGCATCACCATCACCATCGTCACCATCATCACCATCATCACCAGGGAGCTGCATATAGACATCCCTACATCTTTGCCTTGAAGCCTGTCTTGAAACCGCAGAGATGCTCTGACGGGAGAGAGGGCCGTTGACTTTTCTGGGACGTGCCGGGATGAGTGGAAGGTGTGTGGGTGACTTGTTCTGGGGCAGTGAGGGGGCTGACGGGAGAGATGGGAGAATAAGACCGACATTTCCTCGTCCCTCTTCCACCCTGTTCTTAGTCACCTGCTGGAGATGGGACAGGTCAGGAGAGAATGTACGCTCCCATTTCTAGCCACTGTCACTTTTCCTGTTGGTTCCATTTCTGAAGGAAGCAGAGGGGGTCCTTGGTAGCAACAGACCCCTGGAACTCAAGATTTGAAGGACACCCTTTTGAGGTGTCAGGGCCTTTTTGAGACTGACGAAAGCAACGGGAGCCAGCCCCTGAGTTGGCCTTCTCTGATATCCACACCCCCGTGCGGTCCCCGCCCACACTACCTAGAGCTAGCCTCTGCAGACTGTAATGTAACATACCGAAGGAGTGATAGACGGTGACTTTTGAGGCCGGGTCACAGAAATCATCTGGCTTCTGCCTCGCTCTCTCTTGGATCACTCTGGGAAAAGCCAGTTGCCATGCCGCGAGGACACTCGTGCAGTCCCTACTCAAGTGGACCCAGATTGTATAAGACCAGGTCTCCTGCCGGAAGCCGGTGAGAACGGAGATCTGCTAACAGCCGTGTGAGTGAGCCAGCTTGGCCGCTCTCAGCCCAGCCCCAGGCCGGCCTTCGGATGCTGCTGCCCCAGCCGACAGCCCCACTGCAGCCTCGAGAGAGATTCTGAGCCAGAACCACTCAGCTAAGCCACTCCCAGATTGCTGACCCACAGAAACTGTGACATAATAAGTGTTCATAGCTGTTAAATTCAGACGATTTGTTAACGCTGTCTTAGATAACTAATAAATGTGGCCCCCTCTCCCAGAAATGCACTTAACGCCCACTTTTGCCAACACTTTCAGGACATTCAAGGAGTTTCTGACATCCAGGAAAATCAGGCTAAAATTCTCTGCCCTCTCGCAATCCCTCCAGGTGTGGAAGCAGACACACACACACAGCGTGGCAGCTGGGTTCCAAGAGTGAGCTTCCGGAAGGACCAAACACGGGTCCTGCGCATTTCAGGTATCCAGGAAGTTCGTGAAATGCACGGCTAAAGTGAAATGAGGTACCTGATCGTTTAAACATTACTGAAACAGCCCTCCCTGGGTAGTTGCTGTTTGGGCCGGAGCATAGCTAATAAACTTCATCTCTTTTGGACAAAACATTGTGAGCTTGAAGAGTCTCAAGTCACATTCGTTATCAGCAAAGTGGAAGTCGCCTCATGGTCGCCATTGCGAGCTGTCCCCCGCGTCACTGCCCGCACCATCATCGTCACCACCATCACCACGCTCTTGACATCACTCTCCCCATCACCCGCCATTGCTACCATATCGCTACTACCCCGGCCACCACCACCACAATCGTCACCACCATCACCACCTCCCCAGCCACTGCCGCCCAGCACAACCCTGTCACCCTAACCGTCCACATCCCTACCACTGCCACCAGCACGGCCACCCTCTATCAGGATCTCTCTGAGCTTCAGGTGGCATAAAAGCCCCTGGTGACCAACAAAAGATGATATTACTTGGCAACGATGATTTTTTTATAGTAAAGGGAGCCCCACTTGGGAAACGAATCCTTTTCACAGAGACTGATAGGGGTGACTTCTCACAGCACAAAATAATTTGCAAAAGGAGTTCTTTCAGCCAGCAGCCTGACCTATGCATTTCTACTGCATTTCTCTCACCCCAAGGGTCTTCTTGTGGGAACTCTGGAGAAGCGAGCCATGCCTCCAGCCTCCGACATCGGGTGCTGAGCAGACCCCCGCTTCCCCCCGCCTTCCGTGGCCCGTGTCACCCTGCGCCGGGCCCTGCGCCTGGGCCTTTGCACTCAAGCTCCCTGAAGAGGATGGACCGGAGGGGGGGGCGGTGGCTGAGTGCCCGGCCGGCCCCACTCTTGGGAAGAGAAGCCAAAAGGAGACCCGTCCAGGAGCAGGTCAAGAAGGACATCTTTGCCTGGGAAGAAGAAGGTGATCTGTTGGTCTTCCTTCCGGGGAGCGTTTTATTTGATGCCATTTTCCCTGTTGAGTGGCCTCTGCAGCGTTCACGTCGAGCGGCGGAGCTTTGTAGAGTGGTCTGCTCTTGTGGGCACTGGAGTGTTTCCTCTGGCCCTGCTCACAGAGCGGGCGCCACGTGCTGGAGAGGTCTTGGATGCGTCCTGCCCTGCAGAGGCGCCGTCCTGCTCTCAGAGGCTACCCAGACCAGCTTGCTCTTTGGGATGCTTGCCCGGCACTGACCGGCCTGCCGCCACTTTGCGTGGAGTTCTGGCTTCCTGCTGTCCCTTCTGAAGGAGAGCTGGTGTCCTCCGGCCAGCCAGAGGCGGCACATCTGTTGTTCTGCTCGTCTGGCGTTTACTCCCCTCCCTCCATTTGTTTTTCCTTTTGGCGGGGAGAATACCTTTCTCTACTCTGCGTGTGGGGGGTCGTACGCACCAGACGCCCCCTCCCTGCTTCGTGACCCTGTTCTAGGAGTAAAGATGGCATCCGGACCTAATCGGTTGGACTTTTCCTTTGGGCTTTGGGCTCTCAGAATAACGGAATGCATGACTCCCCTTGACTCAAGGAGCTTTAATCCCGGCACTCTTGCTAGAATTGTTTGCAAACCTCTTTATCCTGATCTTGAACCCGGCTGAATGCAGGCTTACATCATCAGGGGCTAGCTTCAGGAGCGGGCCTGCCTGGGAGCGAAACCGGTGGGGAGGGCAGAAGTGAGCAATACGGAGGGAAACTGAGTCCCGATGACATCATTCCAGTGCGAGGCGTCAGCTGTTTCGGACACGTCCTGGAATTGTCAGTGACACGAGCCAAAAAGGTCCCCTGGGATGGTTGAGCAAGTTTAAGTTGTGTTTCTATCCAACTGAGGAGGTCTTTAATTCAGCCACGACCCCTGTCTGAAGAAAATCACTGTCATTTGGAGGAAAAGCCTCTAGGCATCGAGGAAACCATCCTCCGTGTTTCGAAAGATGTCAGAATAGTTTCTGTCATGGCCCACGAGCGCTGGTGTTTTCCTTCTCTTCGTTCTCTGGGACTTGGGCTCCTGCCCAGCCCTGGCCATTCTCTGGGCAGGACTTCAGACGACAGTGGCAGTGGCCACGTGTAGATGAGGCCTGGTTCAGGGAGGCGGATCCCGTGGCACCTGTGGTGGGTGCTGGGAGGTGACAGGTGGGGGAGGAGGAGTAGAGAAGACCACTTATTTGCTTCTCAATTTAACCTTTGATCTGGTTTGTGAATCTGATGCCCAAAGAGCCTGTACATCAAGGACTCAAAGATTTCTTTGTTAGAACCTAGTGTCCGTGTCTTTTCTAAGCTGATCATTTGCCATTACAATATTCGTAGGGAGCCCAAAGGAAGGAACCCTAAGTAGGGAAACAAGAATTAAATATCTAAATCCACACGTGCCTTTTCTTTCTCAGGACCCTAAATCTATCATCACCCCTCAATTAACTCAAACTCTCAATTTCTTCCTCTTCTTCTTCTTCTTCTTCTTCTTCTTCTTCTTCTTCTTCTTCTTCTTCTTCTTCTTCTTCTTCATGTTTATTTATTGCTGAGAGACAGAGAGAGACAGAGGGTGAGCCGGGGAGGGGCAGAGAGAGACACACACACAGAATCTGAAGCAGGCTCCAGGCTCCGAGCAGTCAGCACAGAGCCCGATACGGGGCTCAAAGTCACAAACTGCGAGACCATGACCTGAGCCGAAGTCAGACGCTTAACCGACTGAGCCACCTGGGCGCCCCCACCTCTCAATTTCTGAGCAGCACACTAGTGTGGGAAGATCCCAGAGATTTGCGGGGTCCACTCACAGAGAAGGAATTTTACCCCAGGAGTGTCGCGGAAAGAGGTTTATTATGGAGTACTACATGGCTTCTTAAACTGTTGGGGGCGGGGAGTGGGGCGCTGAAGAAACAGATTCCAGTGTGAGCTCTGAGGTATGATCAGGAAGTTGTTTCCATTAAACCGGGGCCCCCTGATACTACTGCAGGCTCTGGCACCCAGAGGCCCCTGCTCTGAGCCCCACCAGCAGAGCACATCCCTGCACCCTTCCCCAGAGCTCGGGTCCACGCGCCCACCTTGTGGGAGCGCATTCCACTGACGGTAGAGCCTAGACCACACCTGGGGGTGGGCCGCAGGGGATTCTGGGAGAGGTAGTTTTACCCCCCCTCCCCCCCAGCCTCTGCAGAATAAGACAGCCCTGAGGAGGCCGAAACAGACACCAGCAAGGCGGGCCTCAGGCATCTCATGGTCTACCCTCTGCAGCCAAGATCCCCTGACCCTACTCCTTCCCAAATGCCAACTCCAGAGCAAACAACATGAGCGACCAGCTGCTCCCGCGTGATGGAATGCAGACGTCCGTCATAAAAGCCAACTGTCCACGTCCTTCCCCGAAAGGAGGACCCAAGTTCCACCAAATTCTAAAATCAGCCACTGACCACCCACCCAATTTAAAGTAGTAGGGCAAAGAGAGGGAAAAAGGAAACCCAAGACACCTTCTCTGTATGCAACTGGCCCATCAGCCATCTCGTCGGTATTTGTAACTTTTCCTTCCACTGCTGTTCCCTGTTCTTAGATCCTCAGTGAGCGCCTCTGCAGGGCTGGGCTCCCAACCTGGAGGCTGACTCACAGCTCTATCCCTGCTGGCTCTGAGCTCCTGGTGGTCCCACCACTGTGGGGCTCCTGTAGACTCGATCAACCCCATCACAAGACACTCCAGTAACAGGAAGCAGCTCCCCCAAATCGTGTGGCATCTAGAACACTCTCTCTACCTCCATTGAGGTGAGCAGCCTTGAGTTTCAGGATCAGTTTCCCGGACAACGTTCTCTCTTGATCCAGTGGCACGATGAGCCCTAGATGGCCAAGGGGTCCTTTCTCTTCATTGGATGCATTGCTGTGTCCTCCAGTTAGGTCTTCCCTAGGGCACCAAGGCCTCTAAACTGGCAGGGCCTGGAGTTGTGCAGACACGAAACAAACAGTCATCGGGTGCCTACACCCAGTGTTTCCCTGGGGGAGTGTTGCAGGGTACTTGCGGGCTCAGAGTTCACCCCGCATCCCACAAGATGGCGCTCACCCTGATGTGTCGTCACCGGCTTCTATCCAGCACCATGACTGAGTCTTTGTAAGGTCCCCTATCTCACGCCATTACTCTGGAATGCCATGTTTCTGGGTGACAGGTGCAGGGTAAGACCGGTGCATTCCACATGCCACACCATCGCCTCCTTTTGTGTGTGTGTGTGTGTGTGTGTGTGTGTGTGTGTGGCAGGTTCCTTTGCCAGGAGCCACGCTGTGTGAGGTGGCACGGAAGGCAGTCAGCAGGTCTATAGATTTGCAGAAGCACGGTGAGCGGGGAAAACAAATCTGTATTCCAGATAAGTGTCTGTTCCAGGGAGGCCAACTGGCTTTCCCATCTTTGATGGAAAGAGCCTGGTTCCCCAGGGTGTGTGCTCCCGTCGGGGCTCAGCTGATACTTCTGCTGCACTTGGGAGGGTGGTGGTGGAGTTGCCTTGGGAGCGGAGAGCGGGCCGTTGACATTTCCCATAATCCCCATCCTTGCCTCCACGTCTCTGTGTCCGGGAGCCCGCTGAGCTCACGTGGGGGTGGCCGGGGACAGAGGCTCACTGGCATCTGCGGAATGGGTCGGCTGGTCCACCTGATTCTTGACAGCCTCCCCTGCAGCGGGGGCCGGGGCTCATTCTGAGAGGCCCAGCCCCCACACTCCTCCACCCTTTCTCTTTCCAAGTGTAATCCCTCGGCCAAACCTTTAGACGTTCCCACATTCACTGGGCCTGTGTGCTCTCATTTCTTTCTGGGGCCCGGTGGAAAATCAGCTGTGCTGCTGGGGTTCTGCCCACAGGGAAGATTTCCCTTTGCCAACCCACTTTAGGACCCTCCCGGGGGCGAGCCTTGGCACAGCGACATCTGCTTTTGGTCGGTGCCGGCATTTTGTGCAGAGGCTGCAGACTAGGCTTTTCCTTCCTTAGTCGGCTGGTCGCGGGGAGACCCCTGGGTGGGTGGAAGGAGAGGTGGCCGCACCATTGGAGTAGCTGTGAGTTGCCTCCTGATGCGATATCTTGGGTTTTCAGGACCTGCTGGCCTTGGTCTTTTGTATGCGCCTTAGATGGGGCTGCTGCTTGGCGTGGCCCAGGGGGTGGGATCCCATCCGGTGACACTGGGTCCCTGGGCACTCTGTAGGGATCTGTGCCTGACTAGAAGTACAGTCTCTGTTCCGTCTAATAGCAACTGAGACGCAGTTGTCTCTAAAGGAAATCGTTGTTTGCTGAAGAGGCTGTGACTTCATTTCAAAACCCAAGGGACAGACACTGATTCTCCATACAGTCTCCCCATCTGCCACAGACACTCTGAGCCCTGCCAGATCTCAAGGATCTTAAGAGCCAAGAGGAAATGCTGCTCGAGCCACAGCCCGGACCAGCTAGCGAGCTTCCTCCCGCTGTGAGCCCCAGTCTTGCACGGGGGAGGGGGGCGGCCTGTGCCTTGTTTTAGTGGTAAGCGGCAAGGTATAGCACCCTCTTTATTTTCGCCATTGGAGGGGACATCGGAACATACCCCAGATCAGGTCCCTGAATTTTCAAGAGGTTTATCTCCTACCTTCTGGCACACCTGGGTCTTAGCAAGGTTTAAGAGGTCTGCCCGAGGGGTGCCTGGGTGGCTCAGTCGGTTGGGCGGCCGACTTCGGCTCAGGTCATGATCTCGCAGTCCGTGAGTTCTAGCCCCGCGTCGGGCTCTGTGCTGACGGCTCAGAGCCTGGAGCCTGTTTCAGATTCTGTGTCTCCCTCTCTCTGACCCTCCCCTGTTCATGCTCTGTCTCTCTCTGTCTGAAAAATAAATAAACGTTAAAAAAAAAAATTAAAAAAAAAAAAGAGGTCTGCCCAGGACTTCTTGCTCCAAGACCCTGTTGCCATAGGGTCATCCATACAAGGACACCAGCACCCCCTAGGGGGCCCTGGGGGTGATGAAGGCCCCTATGGATGGAATTAGGACTCTGAGACAGAGAGCTGATGTAGCTCCAGGTACGACAATGGAATTGTGACAGAGGAAATGTGACAGAGGAAAAAGCACGTGCCAGGTCAATAGCCAAGTATCAGGCACTCCATCAAGGGGACCACCCCGGGGCAGTGACTGCAGTCACCACGTGAGCAAGTTTGTGATGGCCCCTGGTTGCTCTCTGAGACCCACTTGCGTTCTGCGTGGATCCATCAGGTGGGCCTAACGGGGTTGTGACAAGGAGACATAGGAATATGTCTCTGATGGTGACACGGGACCTGAATCTCTCCAGGGAGACAGGGTGGCTCTCGTTTGCTCTGGGGGAGGAAACGGTAGTCCCAGAGCCTCGGCCTTGCTCCTTCCTCTCATAACGACTCTCGCTGCGTGGGTGGGGCCCGTGTAGGATTGTGCCAATCTCCGTGCCTGTGTCCCCCAACCGCACTCTCAGGAAGTGCCGAAATAGCCGGTGTGGTTGGTGAGCCTGCTGGGCTCACCGTGAGACAGCTGAGGCTCAAGTGTCAAGGTGTTGTGGCCTCCCCGGCCTGTATGCTGACGGGGCCACAGTGGATCCGGGGTCTCAGGATCATCCTTAGCTCAAAGCCGTGTCTAAGAACGCCCAAGGGCTGGGTATTCTCTCCTGCGTGGGCAGCTCACCCATCTGTGGCCACAGGTCCCTTTGGGGAAGGCTAAGAAGCTTGACGGGACACACGTGTGGGGCTGTGTGAGGCCATTTGTAAACAGGGCCATCGTCCCTTGTGCGCACATCCCTTTGCAATGTGACTTTGCGGCAACTCCCATCAAGAGGTAGAGACTATTTCCTTTTGAATCTGGGTGGCCTTGTGACTTCCTCTGGTCAACAGAATGTAGTGTAAATGACATTGTGCCAGTTCGGGGCCAAGGGTTTCAGAAGCCTTAGTTGCTTCTATTCCTTCCCCGGCAACCCCGCCTTCTCCATTGGAACCAGCCCTGCCGGCCTCCTCGGGGATGAGAGGCCACAGGAGGCAGAGATAGGCCAGCTGGCTGAGGCCCCAGGCCTCGTGAGGGGCTGGCCAGGACGAGCTGAGCCTGGCCTAAGAGGCAGAATTTCCTAGCTGACTTCAAGACTCATGAGCGATAGTAATGTTTCAGCCACTCGGTTTTCGAGTGGTTTGTTATGCAGCAAGGTCTAGCAGATACACGTGCCGACCCCCAGGGGACCCGGCCTCCTTTTCATTCAGAGGGCTCGGGGCTGCAAAGGGGCAGTAACTACTGCAGTGCCTCAGGTCAGGCTCCTGTTCACCAGGCCCGAAGGGCTGATCGAGCAGGACCGCGGCAGGCTGCCACCGATTTCAGCCCCGGGGTTCCGTGATCAATCGCTCGCTATCAGTGAGCGCTAGGAGTGAAGCCATTCCGGTAAGCATTCTGGCTGGGCCGCTCGTTGGGGTCACCATACCCCCCCCCTGGGTTCTGGGGGATGAGCGCTGCTGCTCTGAGATCCCAGGTCAATCACATCACTAAGTTTACCATGGCTCCCTCTCCCCACCGAGCTCTATCCTCGGGGGCCCGAAAATCCGTCGCTCCCTTTAGGCGTAGTCGGGTCCCCTAGCCAATTCAGATTCCACTTCTGGTGCCGGTTCCTGTGAGGCTCGGGGTTCAGTGGAAGAGAAAAGATCTATTTCACTTAGTTGAAGTGTAAAGGGATTCACTATCGGGTATTAAATGGTTTCAGGAACCATCGGGAGGCCGGAAACAAGAGATTCGAGCTGAGTGTCCGGGAAAGACAATCCGCCACGGAATGCACCGGCCTGGTGGGAGGACAGGAAGCTGCCCAGGAGCCGGCGGGCCCACTCACCCACCCAGCTCAGGTCAAGCCTAAGTCCTGCACAGGTGCATGTGATGGGTGGAATCTACAGCTCAGCTTGAACTCAAGCTGCAAAGGGTTCTGGGAAATGTAGTTCTTAGCGTTGCAGCTTCCATAGTCCAGGAAGGCGTGCTCCGACTCTGAACAGATGGAGAGAGCCAGCGCCCCGTGGCCACACACAGCCCATAATCCCTGGGCACTGCGCTTTCCAAAGGGTGGCATGGGCTACATACCACGTTGTCCTGATCTCCCACCCTGCCGGAGCAGGGGGGAAGTTGGCCCCTAAAACTCAGGACAGAAGGTAAGAGGTTAGGGCCGGACTGGTGTCAGCATCTTAGCTACTGCTCACTCCTTAGCACTGGGAGCTTCTGCGACCTATCAAGTTTGCCATAAACTCACGGGATGCGGATTTTGTCACTCGTATCCTGTCAAGCGTGTCTTTGACTCTTTTTTTGCACGGGGCCCATAGCTTGGCTCTGAATGCTCTCTCTCCCCTGGAGGCGTGACCTTGGTTACTTCTTTTCTGTGCCTCATTTTTCATCGTCTGTAAAATGGGCACAATCATATTACACACTCTCTGGAACTTATATGAAGATTAAAGTAGATAATATTTATAGAGGCCCTAGCACATTGCTTGGCAGAGAATATGCATTTAACAAATGCTGGGTTTTGTACATTATAATTATTGATATTGTCGACGTATCTGTTCTACAAATACTGGTTCTACCTCGTTGCGTTGCTGAAGACCAAATTCTCCTACATATGCACGAGAGCATGTTAAACTTTAATTGACTTTAGTAAGGAATGAATTAATGAGCTAGCAGGAACTTAAAAGTAGCTGATTTGAAGAACAAGTCAGGGGCAAGTCAGTGGGGAAAGGCAAGCTGAAATGAGCTGAAATAAGCTTGCTAAGTTAGATTCAAGACCACTTAATGGCCTACAGAGCAATAAAAAGATAACCTTCGGGGCCATTTTCTCCACTGGAAACATAAGACCATTACTCCTTGCCGGGTTCTACAGGTTAAAACCCCTACCTTTCAGGGCTGCGGAATGCTTGGGCTCCTGGCTGTTGCGCATTGTTAGGGAGACAAAGCTATGCTCCGCAGAGAATCTGATGCTCTGGCAGACTGAGGAAACGCTCTCGCAGGATATCGGGGAGCTGAGTGGTCATCATATTTCCTTTCCCCAAATTTGGGATGCGCTTTAATTATTAATGTGCGCACGGGAAGTTCCGACCCATCATAAAGATACGGAGGAGACGGCCCTGTCAGGTGGGTGGCCGATTCTGCCGTCTCTAAGGGGAGCCCGTGCCTTCTGGCTTCGGGGAAGGGAGGGAGGAGTTACTGGGAGGGATGCGTCCGTGTGGGCAGGTGTCTGTCCTGTGTGGGTCGGCCCCTGGACGGAGAGGGGGACCCTTTGGTTCCCATGAAGCCCTCGTTTTGGTGGATCGGGGAAGCAAGGACATCGGAGCTGCTGGCCACCCTGCTGGTGAAAGAAAATCGGGCAGCTGATGGAGGCATTTTCGACTTTCTTCTTCCTTGGTCAACTTTCCAACCAAGATGAGCCTATTCATGGCACCCCAAGGCCACTTGAACGTGATTTGGAGAATGTGGGCATGTCTACATGAGACATCCACAGAGGCATCTGACACAGGGCCGGTCACACAGGGTGTCAAGTTGGGGGATGGGAGCTCTTAGGACAGCTACTGGTTAGGAAGCCTGGACCCCTGCCTTCTGCCCTGGCCCAGCAGCCCCCTCCCTGCAGAGCCCCAAGAGAGACACTTAAGGAGGCAAAGAGAAGCACAGCAAACCTTTGGTCGCGGCTGCAGCCCTGGTGTGCCGCCTGTGGGTCTCTGGCCGGCTGGGCTCTGGGTGCAGAGAGTGCCATCCTCTCCCGACCCCTCAGACCTGAGTCTCAGACCTTGCCACTGGGCTGGGATGAAACATACGTCTGCCAGGGTCATTGGGAAAGCTGGGGTTCATACTTAGAGGAACAATGCTACCCAGTCACACCCGGGAGCGTAAGGTGTGTGGGCAAAGGAAGCTCCATAGGTGTCCAGACTTCTGACCTGTCGGGTGAAGGCGTGGGGAGCCCGGCCCAAACCTCAGTCATTTCTGACCTTCTGCACAGTCTTGGCCATACCCGGTTAATACTGGTACCGTATCGTCATTATAATTCTTCAGACGGACTCGGCGTTTCAGCTGAATACCTTTCTTTCCGAAGGGAAATGTATGTATATCATTGTCCCAAATGAAACACCAGAATCCGCTTTTCAAAAATAGAAGGGTAACTGTAAAAAGAAACTTCGGGAAGCGAAAACGATGTTTTTTTTTATCTGCGGCAAATACTGGCTTTTACCTGAGAGCAGCTTGTGTTGTGGTTTTTCTTTCCTTTTCCTTCCCCTCCTCACCGCCCCTGCCCCCCTCTCCCTCCCCCCTCTCCCCCACCTCTCCCTCCCTCTCTCATTAAGGAGGGAAGTCAGCATGTTTAGAGAGAGCTGCTGAGGTTTTCTCCTGGCCACTCAAGCTCTCTCTGCATGGGGGTCTGGAGCCGGTGTCATTTAGAGCAGCATCTGGGCTTGGCTTCTCCACCCAAAGTCTTTTCTAAGCCTTTCCTGTCTCACCCTTTGAGGAACTTTCCCCTCTCGTCCTCCCCTCTTCCTCACACCGCTTTGGGGGAGACTTCCTCTCAAGAGGAAGAGAGAGAGAGAGGGAGAGCGAGAGAGAGAGAGACGCGCCCCCCCCCCCCCGACAGAGAGGGAGAGCTTGGCTGGGAGCTGCTTTTCTCTATCTGTGCAGCTCTCCAGGGAGCGGGTTGGCTTCGGGGTGCTTTGAGACACCCCTTTCTCACTACCACCTCGCTGGCTTCCTTCGAGATGGTTCTGCTTTCATGGCGACCCCCCACCCGCCCCAAAGGCATTCAGAGACTCATAGCAGCCTTCTGTGTCCCTCTCTCCCTTTCTTGTTCACCCTGGATGTTTTGGCACATTTGAGGTAAAAGCAGACCAGCGTTACAGCCCTTACTTTCTGAGTTGGAAACTTGATTTCCGACGGACATTTGCAACGTGTGGAGATCATTCTCATTCACAGAAGCCGCCAGTGACTGCGCTCCTGTCGTGTGCTAGGCTTTGAACTTAGTGCTTTGTTGTCTCGTTAACTCCTCTCAATAATCGATGGGGGGAAGTATCACCCCCATTTCATGGATGGGAAAGCTGAGATTCGGGAAGTTTAATACCCCCTCCAAGGGAGCCCATCGTATCCGAGCGGGAGCTTAGATTGGTACCCAGGACTCTCCAGTCCCAAAAGGCTGTTTACTTTCTACAACAGTGGTGGGTTCTCACACTTTGTTGAGCCTCAGAAACACGGGTAGAGTGTGCCACTATTTACCTACCTTGATCCCGTCTCCAGTCGCTGGGGGGGGTTAGATATTTGCACTTTAACAGAGATATTCTGCATAGATCCTGCAGAGATAGTCTGATGCCTGTCCAGGTGTGCTGGCCAGTGAATCACGCCATGCTCCCTCTTTCCAGGAACACACATGTGGCCGCTTCTTTGTGGTCACCTGATCTCCTGGTTTTAGCTTTCTGAAAAGTAAAATGAGGTCTTCATATGGCTGATTTCTAAATGAAATTTCGAAGTGAAATTTAGATTGGAGCAAAAATAACATTTGAATGAACCAATTCTTCCCCTCTTGAAAACGTCTGGGAAATGTCTGTATCAAGGTTTTGATAAAAAATCTCCCCATAGGATGGATACGCTGCTGTCAGTATTCATAGAGGCAAATCTAAAACATTTTACGTATCTCCTTTACTGTATCGGATAACCCTGAAGTCATCAGAGAAAGACTGGACTATTAGTGCAGAGGAAGACTGTGTGCATTAAAAAAAAATAAATGAATAAAAAAAAAAAAAGACGGGCGCCTGGGTGGCTCAGTTAGTTGAGTGTCTGACTCTTGATTTCATTCAGCTCAGGTCATGATCTCACAGGGTTCGAGCCCCATGTAGGGCTCTTAGCTAACTGAGCAGAGCCTGCTTGGGATTCTCTCCCTCTTTCTCTCTCTGTGCCCCTCCTCTGCTTGTGCTCTCTCTTTCTCTCTCAAAATAAATAAACGGAAAAGAAAAAAGAAGGGAGAAAAAGAAAACTATAAAACAACAACGATTAAATAAAAAGGATCTCGTATTGAATCCTCTGAGCCTGTTAGAGGATGATCCGTTGCATTTCCTCTCCCCGTGCACACATAAAGTCTGCACTTCCCAGCCTCCCTTGCGGTTAGATCGGGGTCACCTGACGGCGTCCTAGCCAATGGGATGAGACCAGGAGTGGTGCACACCACCTTCAGGCCTGGCCATGGCCGTTTGCACTTGCCCTTCCTGGCAACCTCAGAGGTCTGAAGATGACATCGCAAGAGAGGAGGAGCCTGGAGTTCCGAGTCACCGCCTGGACGAGACTCAAAAGGGCTGTCTGGCCTACTCCGGACTGCGGCTTGAGAGGGCTACAAACTGGGACTCTGAGAACCCTGGGGTTTTGGTGTTGTTGCGGAGAGCAGCCAACCGCCCTAATATGTCCTCTTGGCCAGAGAGCCCTATTAACCAGGAGACACTCCTGCCGATCATCACCGTTGGTAAGGATGGAGAAGCTATGGGCAGTGCTGTCTTCATCTGAACAATCGGTATTCATTTAGCACTCACTAGGCCAGGCTCTGGGGTAAATGCTTTCTTACATCGTGTTGTTTAATCTCCAGGACAACTTGAGGGGAGGCGGGCATTGATGGGTCCGTCTTCAGACGAGGAAGGGGGGACTCGGCCGGGTTCACATGGGCAGTGAGAGCTGGTGCTGGAGTTTGAGGGCAGGTCTGCCTGAATCCCGTCTTCCCATCGGTCAGCATGCTCCGTAGTGGACTTATCCGTTCAGTCTGGATGGGTCGTGGAGGGATTTCGAGGGGAGAGAATGGTGTGCAGCCTGGCAGGTCTGGTAGCTGCCTGTGGAAAGGCGTGAGAGAGAACATGGTGTCTGACCCAAGGGTTCTAGAAAGCAGGCTGTATGCTTTCTCGAGGTGGCATCTGCTTTGGTGACCTGCAGTGTGACCATACTGTCTCAAGCGATGCAGATTGCACACCAGACCATTCTGCAATCTGTGCCCCCTGTCAGCCAATCTCAGCGAAGACTCTCTTTCCTGGCCTCTTTTCATCTCATTTCACATCTGGGCTCAATGAAGCAGAATTTCAGGTCTTCAGCTGGTCGGATCGATGCGTCCGTTATCACCTCAATCTAAAAATGGCTTCTGAGGGCATTTCCAGTTGAATGACCTCATTTTCAGCCATGGGGTTTGTCTCTTCAGATCCCTGGGGGTGATAGCCTAGACCTGCGGTTGGCTGAGGTCCCTGCTCATAGTTGGGCACAATCGATTTCCCTTTACAGGTTGTC